CCTCGCAGGCTATGAATGTTATCTAGAGTGGGGAGAACTTAAAAACAGAAAAAAACAAAAAGAGGAAAAAAGAAATTAACCAGAAAGTTGTTGGGAAACTCTGTACAGTGAACTATTGATAACGAGGCAATTGCTCTGAGTTTAATACAATAACTGGCCAAGATATCGTAGGAAGGCAATACAGGAGATTAAAAATCGCTTACAGAAAAGAACACCCCCCAGTAATATTTACTTTTAAATATACGGCGCATTTCAGGAGCATTAGACTAAGCGTGTGGACTTGTTTCCTTATGTGATCTTTGAATATAATTAATAAAATATTTGAAGGAAAGTTCAAGTCAAATCTATCTTTCTATAATGCAAACAAAGACGCATGTCTCGTGGTTACTGGTAGGTTAATTAGGTGATCTTAAAAGAGATCTATCTTGGAGTAATCCGATATTTATTCTAATAAAATTGTAGGTCTTTCTGTGTTTAGCACGGATATAATGCTGCATGGTGTATTTTGTGGGTGATGGTTTGGCAAAGGTGATGTGAATGTGACTGGATTCCCACCGAACAAAACAAAAAAAGGCCTTTGTTATTCTTTTCCATTAGTGAAAGAGGGAGGTCTAGCTCTTCGTTTCTTTAGAAATTATCCGGTATAAAATTTAGACTATGAATATTAAAAGTGAAAGATCATACCCCAGGCACAGGGAAAACGTGTATTCATAAAAAACTGCCTGAATGCAACGTGGTCCTCATCTGGAAAGGGCTTCCATCCCACCACTCCTCTGCTTGCAGGATTTACCACCAGCTCCTCTCTGCCTTCATCTGTCAAACGTGGTTTGTAACTGTTCTCCAGAAATATCACCCGTGTGTGGAATACAACAGTAACAAACGTTTTTATTGCAACAGGTTCTGCAGCATGGAAGAACATCCACAGTAAGTGACCTTTTATTTCTTGTAGCGTTTTTGTTATTCGAAAATCCTGGTTCCTCCCTTCAGACCGAAAAAAAACCCCAAACTATAAATCCTGATGAATACTTCTTCCCTCTCCTCTCTCCCAAAAAAAAAAAAAAAAAAAAAATTTGAAAAAGAAAGAAAGGACTATGTCAGCATGTGAAGGTTCTTGAGGAGTCAGTTTGTGGTACCATGTCATAATCCTGGCTAGCATTAAAAGCAGAGGTGCAGTCTCCTGGGAGTTTATTACAAGGCTGTACAGGTGTCGTCCTGCTTTTAAGCACTCCAAAGCAATTAGCAGCGTTTCCATTTTAACTCAGCGGGACTGTACAGCGCCTCCCTGTGCAGAGCCCGGAGGGATCACGTTGTATCCCAGCACCTCATACCCCTGGCTACCCCCAGTCTTTTCTCCAGACGGGGTCCCAAGCAGATCCGTGCCTGCTCTCTCCCTCCCCTCGTTTGGCACACACTGCCGGCTGGCTGAAGGAGGCTGCAGGGGCTGGGGCGCTCAGACCGGCCGGGGCAGCCCAGCCGCAGCCTGCTTCTGCGGGCAGTAGAGCTGATCTGCTGCAATGACATGTCTCGGGGCAAAGGAGACTCTAACGTGGATTTAAATGCTGTGAAGGCGCGGAATAGAATGGGTGTCAGAGCTTAGGAGGGCAATCTTTTACTCTAGGGATTTTCGCATCCCAGAGGGTCTTGCCTGAGCCACGGGGGATCGAGGGAAGGGCAGAAGATCAGTGTGCATCAGGAAGTGCTGTTGAACCTTTCTGGCTCCAGTGAGGAACTAAATTCATTGGTCCTGGTTCTCCAGGCTGAGTCCGGCTTGTGTCTCAAAGAGGGAAAGAAAGCCTGCGATATTTGGAGATTCATTAGGTTGTATATTGCCCTTCCCGCTTCTGCCAGCCCCTCTCTGACCCGGAGCATGTAAAGGAGAGGAGTGTTTGCGTGTGTGCTTGTTTGCGTTTCCCTGCTTCCTCTCCCTGTTTCCTGACAAATAATCTGTTTCACTATATATGCCAAGCTTCTCCTGGATTTTTTTGTCTTCCGTTGCAATATTGGTTTTCGGGTCCTATAAATACGAACTAAAGAATCGCCTCCAGCGTTGCAATTTTAATTGTGTTCCATAGGTAACTTTCCTCCCCCCATAGCTCAGTCCTGTGCTACGTAGACGCCCTTGGCATTTTATTACAGGGTCGGCCCTAAATGTACGGATTACTTGTTTTCTGCCATCGTACATTTAGCATACTGATTATAAACCAGAATACAAAAAGGCTGATAGATCAAAAGTATTTTGTATGGGCAGTTGAACAGGAGGTGAATATATAACGCTTTTGTTCATCAATAACTCTTTGGCTTTGACCTGTCTGAGCAAGTCGTGCAATAAGGTGAAACGCAGGTCACAGCGTCTAACAAATATGAAAATGTGTAGTATTAAGCAGAACGGGGAGCTGCTGCTTCCCCAGCTCCATCGCTACTCCCTGGGCAGCCCTCGGAGGGCTTGTCCGCTCCTGGGGGCTGCCCCAAACGATAGCTGGCTTTGGGGGGCGGAGGGGAGTTACCCTGCCACTTCAGCCGGCTGGTAAATAACCCCCGCTAGGGCGGGGGAGTATCCCCCCTTCCCTCAGAGAAAGGATGAGAAAGAGGAGAGAGATGCTGGAAATAGTTGGGTGGGGATTTGAAGAATCCGGGGGGAGATTAAGGACATAAAGTCGTTTTGAGTTGCACTTGCTGTGAAGAAGGCACCACCGCAGTGGTAAGAAAGCAGACGTTTAAAAATAGCATCTTCCCAGCTCAGGCAGCTGGGATTTGGAGCCAGCCCAACAACCCGGTACACATCGCTCGGATAAGCGCAACACCCCCAAATCTGCCCTCCGCAGTGGTTGGATGTATCACACCCGCACCATTATTTGTCCTTATGGTGCCTGTTTTAAATAGTAGAAGGAGAAGAGGTTGACCGCAGGACAGCAGTGAGGAGCTGGGTCAGACACAATTCATGAACTTTTGTACTCCTGTGTGCCGCTGTCGACAAAGTAAAAATAATGAAACTTTGTGATATGTTTGTAAATGATTTCGGCTGACCTCTCGCCCTGCCCTTCACCATAAACGCTACGGCAGGGAAAACCTGGGAGGGTGCGAGGCTGAGGCTCGCAGGCAGATCGCGGGGATAATAGCTAGACCAGCATAATAGGATGAAGGTAAATTTGGAAACTCTGTTTTTCCCGAGAGCAACTAACTCCAGCTTTTTATCTCATCTCTTTCACCAACCGCTGTTTCTGTTGTCGGCTGTTTTACCTCTGTTTCGATTTTTTATAAATTCTTTTTATTTTGGGGGGATTTCTAATTATGGAGAATCTCTTCAGATTCGTGTTAGCTTAAATATTTAAAGACTCCTTACTAAATTACTTTAACCATTATTATTCTAAATAGCGCAATTTGACTGACCACGTCCATTTTCCATAGCGAGGATGTAAATGGCAGAGAATTTAAAGAAAGCGGCAGGTCTTTCTGAGAATTTGGTAGGCGAAATTCGTCGCTATGAATTGGTGGAGGGTCGTATAGCTCTATTGCAGCAATAATAACAAGCGTGAATCTTTTCTGAAATCCTACCTTCCTGCAAATCTGTATTCCAGAACTGAGTCCCAGCAGAATAGTTTGCATTCCTCAGAAGACAGTAAGAGACTAAGAGAATTGCAAAGACCTGCTATATTGTAGATGAAAACAGAATGTTATTACGTTGTCTATATATACCCTGTAGAACCGAATTTGTGTGATATTCATATAGTCACAGATTCGATTCTAGGGGAATATATGGTCGATGCAAAAACTTCACCTTTCTGCAAATGGTTAGAAGCTAAAATACTGGCGGAATCAAGAGGCATGTGCGTGCTGAACATTCAGAAATTATAAAAGTTTTGCTGCCTCGCTCCTATTCGCTAGGTTTTAGGACGTTTCTTTAAACTTCAGTTGTTGTTCAGTCCTAACTCTCACTGACAATCTATGAATTTAAACAGTTAAAGTCACCAGAAGTTACAAATTTTCTGGGGGAAAAAAAAAAAAAAAAGATATTATCTACCAATCAGTGAATGAGTCTTTCATAAGATACTCATAAATTAGCTAGATATGGCAGACGTTAGCAAAATTTCCCTGTCAAGGGTCCAGATCGCATCAAAATATTTACGACAGCACCAAAAGCAGCATTCGCCTCAATGGAATGTATTTACTTGTGCTCCAGGAACGATATTGATGAATGAAGACCGAATTTATCTCATTAAACCCGTGATATTTTTAACCTAATTAAATGACGTCTCCAGTTCAATTGATTGAACTTTAGTGGTTAAAAGTGAACTCTTTCTTGCCATCTGTATGATTTTACATACATACGTGTATGGATTTATAAATACAAGTTGGCGTTTGCGTCTGTGCACGCACATGTATGCACACGTATATATTGAGGCTTGAAAGTGAATGAGAAGTTACTGATTGCCTAATTTTATTCAGCAGAACTAAATTCTGGTAACTTTTGGATGACCTCTGCCAGACAAAGACAGGACAGATCTATTGTACATCATATTACCCTCTTCTTTGATGGCTTTTCTTTTCCTCGCCTGCTTATCAGTTTCTTCCCTTTTAACCCCGCTTCAGCTCATCGCTCTGTATATTCCTTTCGATTCTTTTTCTTATTTTATTTAAAGCGAAGTACCGAGCCCCGGTGGCGATCCCGGCTGGTAGATCTGAGGGCAGGGCAGCGTTCCCCGGGGCTGGGGGAAGCCGGCTCAGACAAAAGGCTGTGGGCAGGGCAGCGGCCGCCGCCCCGGGGTACCCCTACACCTCCGGTACCTGGTTTGCGGGTGCGGCCCGCCGGAGAGGGGGGTCACCCGCTTAGAGGGATGTTATTGAGTGGAATCGCTGGAAATGCGGGGAAATGCGGCGGTGGGCGCCCGGCTCCCCATTGGCCGGGCCGGTCACATGCCCGCCTAACTTTATTCAGTTGACAGCAAGTAGGAGGGCTCTATGGCAGGGGAAAAAAAGACAACACGAGAAAAATTAGTATTTTCTACCTTCAGAAATTAATGGCCATGAGTTCGTATATGGTGAACTCTAAGTATGTGGATCCCAAATTTCCTCCTTGTGAGGAATATTTGCAGAATAGCTACTTAGGCGAGCAGGAGGCCGAGTACTACAGTGCCTCGCAGGGCTCTGATTTCCAGCACCAGGGACTCTACCCACGGTCAAACTACAGCGAGCAGCCCTTTAGCTGTAGCAATGCCCAGGGCTCTGCCGGGCAGCCGCGGGGTCACGGACAGGAGCAATCCGGCCCGGCGAGCCACTTCCCCGGCCCAGCAGAGCATTGTCCACCGCCTCCAATGTCCAACTCGCGAGCCTGCAGCCAGCAGCCGGCCCTCAAACCCCCAAACGGCTCCGCACTTAAGCAGCCAGCAGTAGTTTATCCCTGGATGAAGAAAGTCCATGTTAACTCGGGTAAGGATCCTCTTCTTACTTTGCTCTTCTACCCTGCTTCCGATCGTCCTCAGCGGCGCTCTCCCGCGTCCCCGCCAGGCTCGTGGGCGAGCTTTTTAAACCGAGGTGGCCAATTACACTCGCCATAAATTTTTATTGCTGAGGAAATAGGCCCTTGGCCATGCGGGGCTTTGCCGTGCAAGATAAAACTCCATTTTAGGAGCCTTCTAGAGGCTCCCAGCCTACCTAGCTGCGTGTGCCCGTAGTGCCTGCCTCAAACGAGGGGGAAAGCAGCCCGGCTATTGTAAGCAACTGGGACGAATCCAGCTCGGCCACATGCTCGCAGCTCGTAAGGTTTTCTTTTGTAAAGTCGGACCGGCAAGTCAAGATTAGCTTTGTAAAAGTTCTCCGTATTTTTTTCCCAGTGAATCCCAATTACAACGGAGGGGAACCTAAACGCTCCCGCACAGCTTACACCAGACAGCAAGTCCTAGAACTGGAAAAAGAATTTCATTTTAACAGGTACCTGACCAGGCGCCGCCGTATCGAGATAGCCCACACTTTGTGTCTCTCTGAGCGCCAGATCAAGATCTGGTTTCAGAACAGAAGAATGAAGTGGAAAAAAGATCACAAACTGCCCAACACGAAGGGCAGATCTTCTTCCTCTGGTTCAAACCCCCATTTACAAACTGGTTCCAAGGACCACCAGACTGACTTGACAACTTTGTAGAAGAGGTTAAATTTTCCATTTCATCCTTCGCTTCTGACCAGTACTGTACATAACTGACACTGCCCAAGCAGAACCTGCATGTAGCAGCTAAGGACACGAGAAACTGTCATCTTTCTTTAAGGTACTGTTGTACAAAGGAGACAAAATGACGCTACTGTGGACTTTATTTTATTTGCCTCTGCTAGCACAACCTAAAAAAGGAAAACAAAAGAAAAAAAAAAAAAGGGGAAAGAAAGAGAGAGGGAAAAACAAACAAACAAATCATCGTGCAGGCAGTGGGAATTGGGAAAATATTAAATGAGACCTTCTGTCCTTAAAAAATAATAAATCATTGGAAATTAAACTGTCCTGTGTTTCAGTTTTGAATTCTAAAGTGAAGATTGGATGCTTTATTCTGGGATTTATACTTTTAATTGTCTTTCTATCCCATGTAATTTCGGGAGGATGCATTTTGGGCAAGTTGAGGACAGGAAATTCATAGCATAGTCTTTTATTCGAACATAAAGACTAGTAACTGTGAACTTTTTTTTTTTTTTTTTTTTTTTTTGTGCTGCTTTACCTTTCTCGGTGTAATGAAAATTCTTGCTCATTTCCATAACGTCTCAGAAAGTGTGCATAGAAATGAAGCGAAAACGGGTTATTTTGTGTTCTGGTAATGTTCGTGTATTTATTTATTTGTTACATGGAAGAATGAAGACAAAAAGAAAAATAGTCAAACCAAAAACGAAGAAGGGGAGCTGAAATGTAGTATTTTTCTTTCCCAGTCTTATGAACACATATGTAATGTTTACTTGTCTTGAACGTACACAACTTTTCCCCCGGTTGTTTTTTTTTTTATTTATTTCCTTCTTTGTGAATAGGAAAAGCGTCCCTGCTCCTTACCGTGTGCCATCCAGAGCTAACAGGCTTGAAATCTGTTTCCAAAGTCTGCTCTGTTCAGCGCTGTGCTTTAAACCATCGATACCTCATTTTAAAATGGAAAGAAAAAAAGAAAAAGGAAAGAGGGGAGACCACAAAAAACAACCCCACAAAAAACAGCAACCCAGACTGAAAAATTAATGTGATTTCTCATATAAACTGAGCCATTCAAAGCTGAAAGCTGAACGCATTCTTTCAATCAGATTTAAAATTTATTTTCTGCTAGAGAGAGGTAGTCCATGTGGGTTGCTGCTTTGTTTTGTTTTGGGATTTTTGGGCTTATTTTGGGGTTTTATGGCTTTGGTTTGTTTAGTTTTTAGGTTTGGGTGGATTTTTTAAGATTAGGTGGGTTTTTTTTTTTTTTGTTCTGGTGGTTTTTATGGGTTTTTTTTTGGTTTGTTATTTTTTTTATTTAGAACAGTGATTGTTTTTAAGCAAAAATGACACATGACTGCAATGGCTGGAAATCCCAGCAAGTTGCTTTCAGGAAAGACGAAAGGCTTGGATGGAAGCAGAGCTTGTCTAATACCCACGAATTTGTCCCTGACTGCTGGTTGCCAAAGTTTTAGAGCGCTCTAACTACGAAACCAAACCAAACCTGCTCCCTGAGCCACTTACACCTCCGCTCAGGTTTTAAAGCTCAGCCCTTATCTCCTGTAGCCTCAGGGCAGCCTAGGAGAGGGGACCATGTAGCCAAAATTGTAACGAGGTTGATCCCTTTATTAAAGAGAAAAGTGGAGAAGAAGGAAACTCATAGCAAACACTGAAGGGAGGTGGAAAGAGCAAGGGTGAGTTAACGTGCCCTTCTCCAGGCTGGATGCTTCCCACTGAGAACTCACGGCTCTCTGGGCTCGCTCGGGAAAACACTGGCCAAAATGGGCTTGAATTAATTCGAAAATAAAAGGCGAGCTTTTCAACAAGAGTGTATTCGGCAACGTTAACTGTGGCCAGCAGTTAATTTCTGCCCTTTTCTCATCCCTTGAAGTCCGCAAAGTGTCTTTAAGACTTGGTCTTTTGTTTTAGAGCCTGGAGAAAACTCTTTGTTCTTCCTTAGGGTTAGCCCAGTTCTCAGACTTGCACATGGCAATACTTGAATATCTCCACGTCGTGATATTAAAGATGGATATTCCTGCATTATTCGCATCATTGTTTCTATGACAAAAAGCACCGAGTTCATACATAGTAAAGACGTCTTTTTTCTGACGCCTTCACGTTGAGAAGCTGAAAAGGTATTTTACTGAAGTTCGGCTAAATTGCAGGAACAGGTTCACCCAGAGGACAAATTTTCTATTCGATTAGTTGTATTTCAGCCGGGAAGAGTGACCTCTAAACCCTTAACCTTTTGGACCCAAACTACCCTTCCCTTTCTCTAGCATGGAGAGCAGCTAGCAGCAGCGCTTGAGGAGGGAATTCCTGAGACAAGTTTTCAAGTTTTGCTTCACCAGGTTCCTGCAGTAGTGTCCTTTCCTCTCCAGAGCTGTTCAAAGCCGTCCTTTTGCTCTCCATACATATCTATTAAGATAAAGAAGAAAAAAGAGTGTGGGGAACTAAAATCCCTCTAGCTGCCCTTCTTGAAAATCCTCCGCCCGGACCCCCGCTGCTTTCTTAAAGTCTGATAAGTTGGCTGCGAGCAGGGCAGAAGTGTTATTCCAGAGAGTGCTACCAACTTTGGCATCTGTGGTACAGTTCTGGAAAATAATGGCCTTGGATAAGCAAATCCTTGCTTTGTGCTTCTAATCAACCGAGATGGCTCCCGAAGTTAAAGGACCAACTTCTGCTCCCAGATTTCCTTCCCCCGCCCACTGAAGTCAAACAGGCATGTAGCTGCGAGCAGAATTTGTCTCATTGTCTTTTGAAATGTTAATAACTCCAGGACGAGTGTTGGCTTCAGCAGGCTCTTACAACCCTGTTTGCAAGTCCCCTTTGAGCGAGGCTGGAGCACTGTAGGTTTGCATAGGTGTAATTGCACCGTAAGATCGGAGAATATGTGAAGTGGAGACAGAGGGTACCAAACAGAAATAGTTTCCAGCTGCCAGTGCTCTGAATGGTCAGGAATGTCTGTAATAATGACCAAGAGCACCCACTGGTCCTTATCTCCCGTGCAAACCGAACCTGAGGTTTTTGGGTTTTATTTTAATCGTTGTAACCCTCCTCCAGAGTTATTTTTTGTATTAAGGGAAGCTGGTTATTTTTGTTTATCACGGGTGAATGTTGTGCATTGGAGCCTTTGTTAAACGGTCTTATTGTCCAGCACTACTCTCATCTCTGTTAAAGTGTGATGGTTTTATAGACTTTGCTGATGTTTTGCTGCCATTCATTAAAGCGTTATTTATACTAACTGTCGCCTGTAGTTTTGATGTAAGCCCTCCACATATTTTTGAAATAATAAAAGGTGTAGTGAAATAGATTCTGGTTTGTACCTTGAACAAGCAGTCCTTACAAGGTGGGTCTTTCTTCTGTGAAAATGCTGGTTCCTCCCATCATTACAGTGTTAAAAGATGAGTGACTCTGCATAGCATCCTTCCAAATGTCCCTTTGAACAGGTTTGCTGTTTGCCTCAGCCATAATGGTGTGACTCTAGGCCAAGCTGGAGTCTATATTTACTTTTGGGCTGCAGTTAAAAGTGCCTGTCATCCATTTGCTGCTGCTTTGCATTTAACAAGCCCTCCTAGAATGACTCCTGGATTTGTGCATGTGTGGTAGGAGGCGAGGAGCCACACCTGAAGCCACCTCGGTGCCCACACAGATATGTGTCTTTTAGGTGAGTCCTGGAAAGAATCAATTAAATTAAGAAATGGAAATTCGAAATTGCAGTGCAGAGAGTAGCTTTTCCTGAGCAGTAACTCTCATTTTCACAGCGGATGCAAAAGAAAGATCACAAGAAAACACAATTTGGAGACTTTAAAGTTTGTCATGCACCCATGGCAATCATATTCTTTTTTCTTCCCAGCGTAAGCATCTCAGACAATAACACATGCAACTAGCCAGGAGAAGTCGATTGCACTATTTTTGTCATAAGTACTTGTCAGTGAGGGCTTGTCCTCTCCTGGAGCGTGGTCAAGGCACGAGTCCAAAAACACAGTCTCTGGCTCAGGCCGGGCAGGGAGTGGGGTGCCCAGCAGAAAGCATGTGCCCTTACTGCCCAAGTGCACTGAGGGGAGGTTGGGGTTGCCTTCCTAAGCACACACTCGCTAAGTTTAAATATTGAGGCATATCTTGTGATCATACTTTCCCTCTCTGCTGTTTAATGGCTCCTCCTGTTACTCCCGATACATCAATACAGTTCTGTATATTATATCACCACTAGTCGTTAAGGTAAGGATGAAGAGGAAAGGCAGAGTCAATAGCAAACCCCTCAGACTGTACAGTACTGTAAATAGGGACCTCTCGGTGCAGAGCCACACCGCTTCCAACGGCCATGTTTGTTAGCCCTTTCCCCTGATTCTTTTTTCCTTTTTTTTTTTTTTTTCCCTCCTTCCCCCCAAGCCTAGAGACCAAAATAATCTTGCTAGGAACAGTCATAACAGGCAGAATTTCAAAGTGCAAGGAAGATGATAAGAATAGATTTCTACAAGTCCTGACCACGTGATTTGCGAAATAATTAATTCAGCACGTCCCTTAAGAAACACGGAGTCGTCATTAATCTGCCAAGCAAAGGACTCTATCAGACTTGAAAACTGAAGAGATCCCAAGAATATAATATACAAAGGGTGCCGTCCCTCTCCCTGCACACCTAGCTCTTTGGTAGCTGCTGAAAAAGAGAAGCCCGGTACGTAAATATTTTTTACTTTTATTCCTCCTTATTTAAGCCTTAATGAACTCAGCTGTCAAACACTTGACAAATAGGGCACGCTGCTTCCTGATTTCCAGCGCGGCAGCGGCCGGGAACCGGACCGGGCGCAAGCGATGACCTTTGCTTCCCAGGGAGCGGGGGAAAGAGGACGAGCGCGGAGAGCCGCGGAGCGCCGCGGAGCGGGGAGGCTGATGGCCAGCCCGCCTCCCGGAGCGACGGCTGCCCGCGCGGGGCGGCGCGGAGCGGAGCGGAGCGGAGGAAACAATGCGAAAATCAAGGCAGCCGCTGCCCGGTCCCAGCGGCGGGGAAAGGCCCTCGGCTCCTTCTCCAGCGGGGTCGTAAATTTTGCCGCGAGTCTTTGACAGCGGGGCCGGAGCCAGCGCCGGGCGCGCCCTCGCCCCGCCGCCCGCACAAAGGCCGGCTCCAGCTCCTGCCCCGGCCCCGCTGCCCCGGCAGCTCCTGCCCCGGCCCCGCTGCC